CTTTTAGCTTTTTTTTCCCTCGCGGGGGAAAACGGTGAAGCAAGCACCACTTCGCTTGGATCCGAAACGGCGGAGTTCCTTTGAACCCCGCGCAGACTTGCTTTGGCCGCGCTCGGCCAAGGATGATGCCCGGGGTCTTCCTCGTAGTAGGACCGCGGGTTTCGTCAGCATTGAAGACGCACTCTCGCTGGTACGCCTTCTTGATTTCGGCGCCAAACCTCTGCCCGAAAAGCGCTGCTGCTCTGCGAGCAGCTCTTGGGTCGATATGATAGTTTTGGTGGCCCGACGAAACGAAAAGCCGCGACTCAGTGCTACGCGACGGATTGCACGTCGTAGACTGTCCTCTTGACGCGTCAGCAAATAGTCCGAAGCCCATGAGCTGTATTCTTCCTTGACAAAAGCAACACAGTGGTTAGTTTTTAGTGCAAAATCATCACGACGCATGGCTTTAATCCACTGTATGAGCTCATCTGCGTATGGGAAAACGCAGTGACGGCCCTGGCCCCCTAACGTGGTCTTGGAGCTCTTTTTGTTAGCACACGCTTCTCTAAGTCTATCCTCGTTCTTTATCCACTCGTACACAGCTGTGCGAGTGTGCACGTCATTGGAAGCAGCTACAGCAGCGACTTTGCCGCCTGCTTTAACTTTCTCAACGACTCGAAGCTTTAGTTCGTTTGAATACGTGCTACGACGACCTTTTGATGGTAGATTCAGCTGATAGATCACCTCACCGCCACCGCTACTGTCGCTTTCAGCAGCGTCATCCTCGTCGCCGGCAGCTCCGGCACCATCGCGGATACCCCACTGGAGCATTCGCAGCTCGAGCTCTTCCATGGCACGATTCGAAGTGAGCTCATGGCCACAATATTGTTTTTGACATTCTATTGGCTGAAATTATTGACAAAAAACCTCGTGTCATTCATTAGTGTCCGTCATATTAAAGTGTCCTCGTCTGTACTCCTTTTCGAGGAAAAAAAAAAAACATAAATCTCTTCTTTCCACAATACGAAATACGTGAAGGCATATTATTGCCGTGCAAAAAAAAAATATTAGTATGTCTACGTGAGAAAATCAACTTGCAAATAAAATGATGTAAGAATACAGTCACTTAGTCTTATACTACCACAGCTTGTGGTAAAGCTAAGTGGAAAGAGTGAGTTAGGTCTCCCCGGACGAATACCCAGTTTAAAAAAGAGGATCCGTGGCCGAACGCCAAACATGGCGTGCATTAACGAAGGATGCATCTGCTAGTGTCGCCAGATTCTTCGAGGGCTTCAACGACGCCATCAACAATGACGCCCAATGAACTCAAAGAATCGTTTAAAGTCAGGTCGCTGCTGTGGCGCAAGCGACCCGCTCCGCTTACTGCGCTGCCTGCTGACTCAGCAGCTCCTACACTGCAGACCTCAAACACTACAGACCTCTCGTTAAATACGAATGGGTTTTAACCATTTCGATATCGTTAGGGCTAGCAAAAAATACATGTAGCAAACTCGTTGACTCATACGAGTGTGGCCAAGCGCACCTACAGTACCTCCAGTTTGGCCCACTTAAGAATCGACAGTTTAATTTAACCTCATTTTGTCGCGGTACCTACATGTACTACGAAGTACTGTACACAAAACCTCATTCGCTCGCTTTGCGCTCAGTAAGTAGGGTGTACATGTACATGTACTATTAACAGCTGTACCATTTTCGACCGCTGCTCGTGCCGTTCTGGATTTCCATCTTGTTTAACGAAATGCTGTCTGTTGTTGAACAGCTAGTTCTGGCTGTCCAATATTGAGATGATACAATTTGTTCTTCCAGCCGCTCGAACTTTCCATCTTGTTCAACGAGGTGAGCGCCAGCTTGTGGGGTGTCTATCACTTCAATACATGTACAGTAGTTAGACCAGTTGTGGGCTCCAAAGCATGGTGCTGGTATTAAAATACTGGTACATGTTACTACGTAGTATACATGTATTAATAGGATCGACAAGACCACGACATGACATCTGGGAACTGGTACATGTACGTGTACTGTAGTGCTGGTGCTCACCCACTCGCCGACTTCATTCAAGTCTTCCCAGTAAAGTCATTATTTCTTTCTCTATCATGAAGCCAAGCTACGTTCCTCACCTCCTCGTTGCCGCCATCTTGGCGACCACGTCGCTCGCTGACAGCACAGTTGACAAGACGGCAACTGGCGACGTTATTCAAAGCATGTCTGTGTGGGGGGCGCCCGTGGTTGCGTCCACCGGTACCAATATTACCAGCGTGAGGCCTACCTTCGGCAAGGTAACCTCGAAATCCGGCGAGTGCATCGTTGGCTCGCCAACCGAGTACATTAGTGAAACCTATTTGGATTGGGTTTGGGAGCACCGTATTGGTCCGAGTCTGACAAAGCCAACTGGAACGTGATGGCTAACAAGAATTTCCTCATGGACAAGTTTGTGCACAACAATGGCTCAATCAACTACTGCGTTCGCTGGGATAGCAGTACGACGCTGTCTAAGGATGTGGCATCCAAGTTCCAGGGCATCCTGGAGCGCCACTATAACGCGTGGAACACATGGTTGGAGGGCTACAACTGCTGGCCATTTACAGAGCTCAAGGTCAACATGGTGGGGTGGGCTTCCAAGGACAAGGCGCAGTTCGAATGGACGGACAACTCGCTTGGTCCGTTCTACGACGGAAGTGTGGACTCGGACGGTGTGCCGCAGTGTCCAGACGAGTGCTACCGCTACTTCGACAATGTGAACAACCGATGGTCGGACACGAGCTCCTGCACGGGCGAGCCATTCGATGTCTCGTTCTGGCTGAATGACAAGATCCCCTACGGCTTCGGGTATGATTGGGGCCAGAGGTGAGTCTTAACGACACGATGAACAACCTCGACGACCAGAATATCCTGTTTATCGGCCACGAAATTGGCGACGGCTTCGGTTTGCCAGATTTTTACGGACTCGAGACCAAGCCGTCCAAGGACTTCCCCAACTCCGTCATGATGGCGTACAGCTTCGTCACCATTACACCGAGCGATGGCTGGATGTTGCGTCGCATCCTCGACCATGTTAGGGACCGCTACAAGTTTTAACTCCGGCAGCTTGCGTTGCTGGATGATTCCGAGACCTTCGCACTTTCCAAGATCATAGATTTACATGTTGACGTTTACGAGTTATTAATACTTCTTGAAGTACAAGCACTTCCAATGTTGCATGTGCAAAAACAAAAAAGACTTTTGGTTCTAAATCAAAAGATTCCAACGTCTCGTCAGCGTGATGTTGATTTGTTAACCCTTCGAAGTATTAATTAATTAAGCTGAGCAAACTTTAAGATAAAGCTTTGAATACAGGCCATAGTGGCACAGCCTTGTGCCTGTATACTACCGGTATGTAGGAGGTAGAGTATCAAATGTTGTTGGGCTACCGACCCAATTCCCTGGTGACGGCACACGTCATCCCATCATCATCCATTTCATCATTTCGCTTCCCAAACATCAGATTTAGGTCTTCTTTCCACTTTCAAACTGGGTCCAGCAGCATAATCGTAGGTGCTGTTTCAACTTGAATTTACCTACGCTCGTGCATATCCGGCTATCAGGCATTCTCTAACTTGTTATTGTCAACTCGATCTCGTCCCTATTTATTCATACTACTGTAATACAACATATTTCCAGTGTGAGATGTCTCAATAATCTATTCATGTCCTCTTGATGACCATTCCTGAATTTGCGATCATTGCAACATGGCGGAAGTGCGTCACCGTCGTCCAGCACCTGCAGCTTCTCCGTCTCCCACGGACGCGTCATCCTCTTATGACTATCCGATCGAGAAGAAGCGCCGTCGCCGCTTCCACCCGTCGCTGCCGCGTGGTTGGCTCGTTGTGTTGGGCTTCCTGGCCTTCTACGCGTCATCCTTCGCTGTTGTGACCTTTTGGCACACATGGTTGCCACAGCCCAAAGGCATTGACGCGCCTCCCAACGAATTCTCAGAGGCCAGAGCGCGCGTGGTGCTCAAGAAAATCATGAGCTTCGGATACCGCCCCGTGGGCACCAAAGCCAACGAAGAATTGACGCCCAACTACTTGTTGGAACAGGTAGAACGTTGCATGAGTGGTTGAAGGGTAGCGTTGTGCGAATGTGATTATTCTTTACTGTGATATTTGTAGATAGAGGCGATCCGAGCCACCAAGTCGGAAGGAGTGAGCGTGGACGTGGACGTGCAGAGACCCTCTGGCGCCTTTGGCCTGGACTTCATCGCGCAGTTCCAGAACATTTACGCCAACGTGACCAACATTCTGGTCAAAGTCTCACCACCCGACGCCAGTCCCGACGCGCTGAATAATTCGCTGATGATCTCGTCCCATTACGACGCCGCAATTGGAGGCGCCGCAGCGTCCGACGACGGTGTGAATATTGCAATTATGATGGAACTTTTGCGCCTGTTCGTGCTGAGTCCTTTAAAGCACGCGACGTTGGTATTTAACTTTAACGGGGCCGAGGAGACAATTATGCAGGCGGCACATGGCTTTATTACGCAACATCCGTGGACTGACACAATCCGCGCGTTCATCAACTTGGAGGCAGCGGGCGCTGGGGGGCGAGAACTGCTCTTCCAGACTGGCAGCGACGAGCTGGCGTTAGCTTATGCCCAAGGCGCCAAGTACCCGCATGCAAGTATCATTGCGCAGGAGTTATTCCAATCGGGAATTATTCCCGCAGATACGGATTACCGAGTTTACCGCGATTTCGGCTACGTCGCTGGCATGGACTTTGCCTACATTGCGAATGGCTACGTTTACCACACGACTCTTGACGATATCTCGCGCATCCAACCGGGTGCAGTGCAGCGACTAGGAGAGAACGTGGTGGGTGTTGTGGGCCAGTTGGGGGGCGAACCTGGACGGCTGAGAAGAGTGGCAGAGAACCCTCAGACCTCAAGAACGTTCTTCTCGGATGTCATGGGACTCACGATGGTGACGGCAAGCAAGGAAACGACCTTCCTTCTGTGTGGCGGAGTGTTGCTGCTGGCGTTCGTCTACCTCGTGCTGTCCCACGTCTCGTTCTCCGAGCGGTTGACGGCTTTTATGCTGATTTGGAGGTGTTTTGGCACTGCGATTGCCGCTTCGTTGACGGTAGGAGTGATTCTGAGTCTGTATGCGCCGCTGCCGTGGTATTCCCAACCGTACTTGGCCGGAGCGCTCTTCCTGGCCCCCGCCCTGGCAGGGATGGTTCATCAGTTGGCGTCAGTGTTGGAGAAGGATCGAGTCACTCCTCAAGCTCTGTGGCGTCTCGAGGAGAGTCTCTTTGAAGCCATGATGTGCATCTGGATGGGGGCGTTGGCGGTCTGCATGCAGTTGGGTCTCATCTCGAGTTACGTGTTGGCCGTGTGGATCTTGTTCCCGCTGCTGGGGCAAATGCTGTGTCAGCTTCTGCAGCGCTTCCGCATGTTCTCGTCGAGTATCTACATGTTCATTTCGCTCGGTGCGATGGTCATCCCTGTGATCCACACCATGTGCTGCTTTGCGATCGCACTGATGTTCTTCATCCCGTTATTGGGTCGAAGTGGCCCAGTGGTGCCTCCGGACGTGGTGCTGTCCCTCTTGATGTGCATCATCCTGTTGGTAAGCGAGCTGTCTTTTATCACTCTCGTATACCTGGAGTTCTAACGCTAGTTAACCGTGTGTCTTGTGCCTGTACAGATTTTGGTTTCGTATTCCGGTCGCGTGTTCTGCTTCCTGCCGACGAAGCAGCTGCAACTCGTTCGGAACGTCTGTATCCTCATCACGGTGGTGGCTACGGCGTATGCTTCGATTCGGTGAGCTTGCTATTGATACTCTTATGGTAGCAAGGACGAGCATACTAACAAGGTCATACTTATGTCTGCAGTAACCCGTACTCGGACGTCTGTCCCAAGCGACTGATGCTGCAGCATGTCCAACGTGAAGTGTGGCTCCCAAACGGCGATATCGAGACAGACTCGGGGCTTTGGATCAACTCGCTCGATTTCCGCGGACCGGACCCGATTAAAAGCTATTTGAGCGACACGCAGTGGAAGGATGCGCGCATGCACGTGGCCCCCGAAGAGCTGCATGAGCACGCAGAAGTGTACGGACACATGCCCTGGTCTCTGCCCGTGAAGCACATGCTGCCTGAAGACAAGTCGTGGTATCTCCCGGCTGCCGCGCCTACTCTGCCCAGTGACGCCTACAAGGCCAGGTAAGTGACAGCTGCCGCATTGGTTCTCATGTACTTGTACACCAGGAGTCACTTACTTCGAGTGCTACTGCGACAGATTGAAAGTTCTTTCGTCGACATACTCGGAGCAGACTCATCTCCGTCGACTTCACTTTGTGTTTACGGGACCCTCGCACATGAATCTCTTCATCGATGCCAAGAAGACCAAACTGACGTCGTGGTCCATGGGAAATGGCGTGAGTGGACCTGTGGTTGAGGCCGAAGACGCGTATATTCTTCAGTTCTGCAGTGGCACAGTCCCGTCGAGTTACCACTTCTGGATCGAGGCCGAGTCCAACAATCCTATCGACGTTGCTTTTGTTGGCCACTACCTCGAGGTCACGACGCCAGAGATGAAGGAGTTCACGGATGTGCTGCCGTCGTGGACGGTCGTGGCGTCTGCAGTGTCCACGTGGACGAAGATGCAGATTTAAAGGCTTTTGTCCTGCCTCTTAAATGGCCATTTCACGTTATGTTATAAGCCACTCGGCGAAACATTGCTAGTTAACCGAGTTATTTGCCAGTAGTATTCACGACTGCTGGATTATTGGCTTTTGCTGGTTATTTGTTGCGGCTTCATCGTCGCCCTCGTCGCTTTCCACAAGCTCGTCCGGGTTGACAATCAGCTCATGCTCTCTAGAGCTGAGTATGTGGTCGCTTGAGTTGTCACTTTGGCCACGAGCAGCTTGGCGAGATTGAAGTCGCGTCGATACTGGGCCGTTGACAGTTGCACACTTGACATCAGAGGGCGCAGAGTCGTCTGAAGCTCGCTTCTCCTTCATGCCAGAGCTGCCCACAAGGTCACCCTCATCGTCGTCTGAAGATGAATCGTAGTCAGACAAGGAAATCTGCCTGGATGCATACTCGCGTCGAAACTTAAGGAAACCTTCTTTGGTTAACTCGTCAGTACCATCATTCTCTCTGCAAAAGATGCCAAATTAAAAAAACTTGTCAATGTATGGCAACATTTAGTTTTTACTCACATGGTGCTGTTGCTGTACGTTTCGAGAAATCTCTCCGCATCATCAATCGAAAGTGTTGAATGGCAATTTGCGAGGAAAAGTCTCAGCTCCTGCATACTCACACGTCCTCGACGATACGTGTCCAGCAGCTTCCACTCAATCTCCATGGCCCTTTCACTTTGCAGCGTCCTCTCGACCTCCTCGACGCTGGGATCTGGAATCTGCTGGACTGGTGGGTTTCCTTCTTGTGCTGCAGTCTCCACTACCTCGGGAACTTTGCTTACGAGAGGAGCAGTAACCTGCACATGGCTGTCCACGATCTTAATGAACTCTGCAAAAACACGAAACAGGTTTAACTGACAAAAATGAACTAAGATTTCAGTTGCTCGTTGGGTTACCATTAAGATAAACCTCCCCCAGCTCTCGGACATGGGTAGTGTTGACATCGAGCCCCAGCTGCAAATAGCAGCAATAAACATGTCAATAGTTTAATTAATGCCTAAGCTTTTGGCATGTTGCCACCGCACCAGCGCAAACATGCGGCACGCTTGATCTGCTGAGACAGCGCCGTCTCCATCTGTGTCGAAGTAGCGAAAGATCTTGCAGCATCCGTTATTATTAATAAGCATTTACTTCGAAGTAGATAGTTCTCTTCGGCTACACTTCCATCATTACGCATTTACCACTCGCAGATCTTCGAGGTCGACGTCGCTGAGGCGATCCACACGCGAGTCGACGGAGGCTTGGAACGAGGCCTGTACGATATCCATTCTTGGCGTCAATGGTCGCTTGCAAGGCGGCGGTTCACATGGCTGGGGACAGAAGAGTCGGAGAGAAGAAAGCGCTTCGCATTATTCCGACCTACACACAAGTGACGATCGTCTCCTCTCCGCGACTTAGGCCGACCTAGCGAAAAGCTCAAATGGCTCAAAGCGCATCGCCAATGGCCCGTCGCCGAGCATGCGCATCGCGGGCGCATCATGACGGCACCACCATGTTAAATAAACCAGCTAAACACTGACCAAAGCAAAGCGGCGTTATCGTCAGCAGCAACGTACATCATCAAACGAATTGAACGGTACATGTCATGGTGGGTTGTTATGGCATGCAGCCAGCAGAGGAAGTGCTCGGTGATTCAACCATGTCTGGCTGCATCATTTCAGTACATATATCTGAGAATATCTATTGCGAGGCGTCCAAAAGTGCTCGTACAGGGTCAGCTTGCTGCTCGAGTCGAACCTCGACATTGTGACTCGAAGCGCATCACTGCCATATGGCTTGCGTATCAGCTGCTGGTATCCGGAATTGGCATTTTGATTGGCTGTCAACTTCAATGTTTAGAGCTCACGGCCGGGCCATTTGGGGCTGGAGCTGCAAGCTCGAAAAGCTCTTAAGCTCGAAAAGCTCTTTACAAGTTGTTGCCAAACCATGACATAGCTGAACGAGTTGGTGAGGATGGTACTGCAAAGGTAACTTATGCGTGCAGCATGTATTATTTTAACGCGTGGTTGAATCTTGTGCGGTGTAGTTTTGCCCACTAGATTTCTTGCCAACATTTTGAGCCCATTTTGCTTTAAAATGGGTCTGATTGCGCTGGCTGAAAAGTGCTCAGCACTGACACGAAGATGAGCTGATACGGATGGGCATTCGTGCGGAAGAGTCACTCCCTCAAGTGGCTGCACTTTTCAGCTTGCACTACACTTTAGAATTGGCTCTTCAAAAATCATTGTCATTTACCGTTGCTATGGCAGAACTTCTGCAGAACTTCTGCCATAGCAACAGATAATGACAATGCTTCAAGCACCTGTATATCTTCACCACGTGCGCGAAAACCATACGCGTCTGAGTGCGGGGTCCGCACAGCGAGCACGACAACGCTGACCACTACAACAACAGCTGAATTATGGCAGTCGATGTTGCACTGCAGACACGTATATAAATTATATAATCGATGCAGTCTGTGAGCAATCCGTGCTACTGTAGGATGGCAGAGGGAAACAAACAAATTTGTCGACCAAAGTTTGAGTTCAAACTTCCCTTAAGAAATCAAGTGTTGTTTCATCTGAAACGTCAAGTGCGCCGTCAGAAAGTGCTGTAGCTGTTTCATGCCTATATCTGCATTAGCGGGTTTAAAGTTAAACTAAATTTCAACAAAGACTCGGCATGCTTTGCTTTCCGGTAAATGCATGGCTCCAATAGCTAGAGATTGGAGGCTCGCTATAAATATGGGCTGTAGGACGGCTGCAGTCACTGGTTATAGGGGTGATGGGAGCCATTTCCTGCGAGACGGACACAGCTAAATTTGGATTTTGCTGGCGCATCCGCTTCAGAAGTCGCATCACGAACAACTTTTAATATCTGGCACTGATAGGGGCTAGCGGAACAAGTTATGATGAAGCTGCGCTTGATACTGTATCTCACGACCGCAACAAGCTCCGTGCATGTAATGCAGTCCATGGCAAAAAGTAAAACAATCCCCAATCTGCCGCGAAGGTTTGGGCACTTTTGGTGGTGTCGGTGCCCTTTTTCGGAGCAGGAATAAATGGGGGATGCGCTTTGAAACAGCCGCTCGCTGGGAGCGACAGGGCGAAGAGAAGATAAAAGTGATAGTGAGCCCAAGTCAGACCGAGCCGACTTGCACCCGCTTCCATTCTCTATCGCTGTTTTCACTTCGCAACTTCCGCCATGCTGGTCATGCACGACGATATCTCGGCTTCTACCTCTGCGGGCGCGGCACTACCGGCGCTGATGAAGCGTGACGACAACCGGTTGCTGGTGTGGCAACAGGAGACGTCCAATTTCCCACCTGAACCAACGATGGCTCCTCCTCCCCCGCCTCCTGCCACATCGGAGTCCAATTCGCCTTCGCTCAAGAAGAAAAGCAACAACAAGCAGATTTTTATCTGCAATGAAGTTCACTGTGGCAAGCAGTTCCCGCGATCATTCGCGCTCCGACGCCATATGCGCATCCACACCGGCACGAAACCCTACGTGTGCGACTACGAAGGCTGCACGCAGCGCTTCAACACGTCGGGCAACTTAAGTCGCCACAAGCGTATCCACAGTGGAGAGCGGCCGTATCCATGTATCTTTGAGAGCTGCGGCAAGCGCTTCAACACGAGCACAAAACTCAAGAGACATATGCGCATCCATTTCCCCGAGGGCCAAAATCTGTTCCGCTGTATCGGTCAAAATAATTGCAACTGGAGCTGTGACAATTATAAAGAATTTGCGCAACACCAAAAACTGCACCACAATATCATCGTAGGCGCCCGACAAGAGAACAACTACACTCGGCAACACCATGGCCTGCAAGAGCACGACCAACACACACCCGTCGCGGTTGTCGATACATCGACCGACAAGGACAACGACTACTTCTCCACCGCGGACACCACTCGCGAATACTCGACCGAGAGCCTTCCGTACAACTCTCACCACGTCTCCGCTGCTCCGAGTGGTAGCTTCCTGTACGCCAGCAGCTACGACAAACCCAAGAGCAGCGTCTTGGCTCCCTCTACTCGCAACAAACTGATGGGTCCACCGTTCTTCGGCTCGGATCTCGGTGGCAGTCTCCCGACTATGTTGCCCAAAGATCAGAGCAAAAAGTCGCCGGATCTGGATCATCTGTACGGGTCGGACCAACGTCGCCTCAAATCGGGCCATGCCTTCCCCTCCGTGCAGTACTCCAGCACTGGTGGCTCGTTCTCCATCAGCTCCGACAGCTCGTTTAACCGCCCGAGCTTCACCACCAACAGCAGCCACTTCGCTCCACTTCGACCGGAAGACGAGCGAAGCTATGAGAACCAAACGCAAAACCAGCAGCAGATGCTGCCACCTCCAGGCAACCACGTACTTCGGCCGCCCCCACAAAGCAACGATGATGGCAAATACGGCGGATTTGCTGTGCCGCCCCCAATGAACCCAGCGGCACCCGAGTTCACGGGTGAAGAGCTCAACGTGGTGCTGCAGCTCATGAACGAGAATTACTGACGAATCAGCCGAAGCGCGGACTGGACTGTGGAAGTAAAGTCCCTGTAGTTATTAATTAATACGAAGTACTGTGATTTGTTTTCGAGTACTTTGATTCAAGTACTATTATACTTTGAAGTACTACGTAGTACGTAGTGCCTCCAAGTATTAGAAGAGAAGCAAAAATTCCGAGAGCTCCATTTAAAAGAGAAGTATTAATACTGACGTATCAGCCGAAGCGCGGACTGGACTGGTACAGGATATTAAACGAAGTACTGTGATTTGTTTTCGAATAGATGTATTATACATCTACTTTGATTTAAGTACTATTTTACTTTGAGGTACTACGTAGTACTTCGAGGTATTATTTTGAAAGAAGAAAAAGAATTTCCCGAGCAAAAGTCTAAGGATGGAGGACGAGAAAAACTGTCGAAAATGTCGAAGCTGGTTGCATAGTATTTCGAAGTTGTAGTTGTTCCACTCAGGCCATTGTACATGTATTCAGTTCGTGCTGCCCATGCGGCAAACCACCAGCGTGTTCAGCACGTGGAAAGGAAAGCTCACTGGTTACAGCTCCCATACAGTCTCGTCGTTCTCGTCATCGCTTGCTGAGCCTTCTTCCGGCCCGTAGCTACGCTTCTGCTTTAGGCGAGGAGCGGTAAAGTCCCCGTGCTTACCCATGCTGCTGGTCGACTGCGCGGAGCGCATAACGCCAGCGTCCTTAACGTCTCTCTTGAGGTTGTGACTGCTGGTCGTAATACCAGCTCGCTGGAGTCGGTCTTTCCGGCTCATGGATGATCGTCCCTCACGTCTCGGTTCTCTGCTACTTCGTCTTGCGGAACTCTGAGGAGGGCGAGCATCAGAACGTCGATGCAGATGAGGAGCGCTGAGAGGAGGAAGAGCTTCGCTGTGTTTGCGGTGGTGTTCCTTGGAGGGTTGTGCGTTTGTAGGCGGCTGCAGGAGCGACAGACGCGATGCTGTCGACTTGCGGTGCATTTTCCGCAGCGCATTCCAGAGCGGACGCGTCTCGGAGGCGTCCATATTCACTTGTCTGCTTGATTATCAGCACAAAGGCGAGAAACAAAAACACATGCCTTGAATGAGCTCATGTGGTGCAGATATAATAGACAGATGGCAATAGGTTGAGCGAAAGAATTCATGAAGTGGAGACGTACGAAGCGGCGCTGGGGTGGAGCGGGTCGGCGTCGCCTTCGGCTTCTTGGAAGCAGACGCAGCGCGACATCAGCTTGCGGCATTTCTGACACTTTCCGTCCCAATTGAGCGGCGAGCTGGAGAGCATGGCGCCTGCGCCGGTTGGAGACTCGGTTGGCTGCCCCATTGCGATACCGACTTGAGTCCCGCGGAGGATATTTGCAACTAATGACGAGCGGGCGACTGCGGTCACCGCATAAGCGAGGCGGCGACGATGCATTGATCTGTGCAAATATGATAACCTTTTATAGTGGATAGAACAGATCGGTTTCTTTAGATTATTAAACCTGTGATAGTAAGTGCAATTGCCAAAATACATCCGACTTTGGTGGACAGGTGCTGGGCACAATTGATCGATGGGCTCAGCTCGCCATCTCGATGGAGCGCGTTCGTAAGTTGAGCACCAAAACGGTGGCTCTACGAGGGAGCGATTCAACGGACTGCAAATTTCTGTTTCGTTCAACACCATCGGGGAGGAAGGTGGTCTCTCAGGCATAATCTTTTTTTAAAATAAAGGCATGGGTTTTGAGAGGTGTCGAGCGGGCACGCTACATTATTTAGTAGATAGCAGTGCCGACCTGAAGTTGTCAGACGTTTTGTAGTGCACAACGGCGTGTAGTCGGACAAGTCTAACGAAGTGGCAGCCGAACGAGTGGGCGCCAACAAAACGTGTGGTTGCTGTAGCTTTCGACTAGAAGTCGATATGCGATCACGCACATGAGGAAGACTTGCGAGCAAACTTCGCTTCCTGTTTGCCAAACAAAGAAGGCGGTTGAGTCAGCAAGTCGTGACAGCGAGGAAAGTCCTGCTGTATTGGGTCTCAGCAATAAGCAAGCACGCTCTGGCCTTGCTCTTTGCATTGCCGCTCCTCGAGCGTGTTCTCGCGTCCAAGACTATCCAGCCTCGAGAGCCCAACAAAAACTCTCTACATGTACGTACGTTAACCCGAGCACGCAAGGCATCGTCTGCATTGTCGAGGTACATGTAGCTCAAACTTTGGGTCAAAGCGCCAGTACAGTATGAGCTGTTTCATATCCCCCAGCAATCAACCACCGACGACTTAATAACATGTAAAAAGTTGCTTTGGCCAGAAAACTCCACAATCGGTTTGAGAGCACTAATGATGTAAGACACATCACATTCTGCTCTACAAGTGTTTCACCCAATGGAAACGAAATTCGTCAGTAGCCAACCGCGACCCTCCCCGTGCACCCGCCGGCTATGAGTGGCTCCTTCGGCTTCAACGCATACGACGACTTCCTGCAGACGCAGCCGGCGCAGTCGCAGTCGTCGCAGAGCTTCCCCCTCACACAGGCGTCGCAGTCTCAGTACGCCTTCGTGGATCCTTCGGACGCCGGCAGCAGTGCGGATTCGTTTTACGACCAATACCAAGCACCCGTTGGGAGTGGTACGTCCTTTTTCGACCAATCAGCAGCTGCGGATGACGCATCCAGCACCTTCCAGAGCCAACTGGACGATGCCAGTCTCGCCGGCGACTTCCAGAGCCTCACATTCGACGAGACGGCGGACGAAGACGCTCTGGACTACACAGCAAGAGAGCTGCCCAAACACGCCTGCGCCTACTGCGGTCTGCACGATCCTGCGTCGGTCGTCAAGTGTGTAGCCACCGAAAAGTGGTTCTGCAACTCCCGAGGCAACACGAGCGGCTCGCACATCATCCAGCACCTGGTCCGCAGCAAGAACAAGGAAGTGTCGTTGCACCCCGAGTCCCCACTAGGCGAAACGGCGCTGGAATGCTACAACTGCGGCTGTCGCAACGCGTTTCTATTGGGCTTTATCCCCGCTAAACAAGACTCGGTGGTCGTGCTGCTCTGCAGAGATCCGTGTCTACAGATGAACGCGCTGAAAGATATGAGCTGGGATATGTCCCAGTGGCTGCCAATCATCGACGACCGGAGCTTCCTCCCGTGGCTCGTGAAGGTCCCGTCCGAGCACGAACAGCTGCGTGCCAGACAGATAACATCCACGCAGATCGCCAAGCTGGAAGAGCTGTGGCGTGACAATCCCCTGGCGACGGTGGAAGACCTGGACCGACCGGGCATCGACGACGAGCCTGTCAAGGTGGCGGAGATGTACGATGACGGGTATCAGTATCAGAATATATTTGGCCCGTTGGTCAAAATGGAATCTGATTACGACAAAAAGATGAAGGAATCTCAGACGCAAGAAGGAGTGATGGTCAGATGGGACACGGGGCTCAACAAGAAGCGCAATGCGATTTTTACTTGTTCCCGACCGGACTCAGATCTGAGACTTGTCCCGGGAGATGAGATCCGTCTCCGCTTGGGCGCCACTGCCAGCATGTTGTACGGCAAAGACTGGGAAGGCACGGGCCATGTGCTGAGACTGGAGGAGTCCGAAGTGGCGCTGGAGATGCGGAGCAGCAACGTGCCCATCGAGATCACGGACGGATACCTGGTGGACTTTGTGTGGAAATCCACGTCGTTTGACCGCATGCAGGCGGCGATGAAGACGTTCGCAGTGACGACACGTCGCTGACGGGCTATCTGTACCACAAGATCTTGGGCCATGACGTTGGAGTGCAGGCTTTGCGCATCCCTCGCTCGGTGGGCACCCACTTCTCAG